ACTCTGGCTGCCATATTCTGTACCAACTGAAGTTTCTGGACCAAGCACAAGAGTAGCTCAATGTAGAGTGCATTACAGAAGTCCAGATGAGAGGTTACCAGCGCGTGCACCACAGTCACAAGATCCCTTACTTCCAGGAAAGGGCACAGCTGGTGTATCTGCCAAAGCTGATAACAGGCACTTCTAACTGTCATATTTACCTGATTAGTCATCAGGACCAACAAATCTAGGAGCACCCCCAGACTGCGAATACAGTCCTTCATGGAGAGTGTGACCCCGTCCAGGAATGGAGGTTGCAACCCAATTCCTGCTTTCGAGGCCGCTACTGTGAGCACCTCCATTTTGTCTGGATTCAACTTCAATCTGTTTTTCCTCATCCAGGCCATTACTGCCTTAAGACAGTCATTGAGAGGGGTGATGCCATTGAGAGCTGTGGCCAACGACCGAGACAAAGAGAAATAGATCTGGGTGTCATCAGCGTACTTCTAACACCCAGTCCCATGTCTCTGAATAATCTCTCCCAGCACCTTCATATAAATGTTAAACAACATTGGGGACAGAATGATGCCTTGAGGTATGCCACAAGTGAGGTCTTTTTTTTTGCCAAACTATTGTCCCCAAGCAGCACCCTCTGGGATCTGCCTGAGAGGAAGGAGCGGAACCACTGCAATGTAGTGCCTCCAATTCCCTGCCTCCTCAGGTGATCCAGAAGGATGATGTGATCTATTGTATCAAAAGTTGCTGAGAGGTCTAAAAGCACCAACAGGGTCACGCTACCCCTGTTGATGCTCAGACGAAGGTCATCGGTCAAGGCAACCATGGAGGTCTCAACTTCAGATCCTGTCCTAAAGGCTGTTTGAAATGGATCTAGATAGTCTGTTTCATCCAAGACAGTTTGGAGATGAAGAGCAACTGCCCTCTCGATCACCTCACTCAGAAAAGGTAACATGGACACTGGCCTATAGCTGTTCATGTCCAGGGGGTCCAGGGAAGGTTTTTTCAGAAGTGGCCTAACTGCCACTTCCTTTAAACAAGATGGCACAAGACCTTCCCTGAGGGATGCATTTATGACGTCCCCAAGGAACAACCTCAAGGCATCCCCCCCCCCAGATGGCCAGCCATGACAGGCAAGGATCAAGAGGGCAGGTTGTCTTCCTCACACTACCAAGGAGCTTGTCCATGTCCTTGAAAATGATCCTGTAAAATTACATCAACAGAGCTGCTGGACACCTCGTCTATTGATTCTGTTATCAAACTGGCGTCCAAGTCATCTCTTATCTGAAAAAAGTTGTTACATGTATCACAGGAGGCCGTTGTTGGGTTAAGTAATGGGTTCTGTGCAGGTGGAACTTGCGTCAGTTCCGTTACCACCCTAAACATTGCTGCTGGACAGGACTCTGCAGACGCAATACATGCAAAGGAGAAAGATTTCTGTGCTGCATGTATTGCCTCTCGATAGGACCAAAGAAAGTTTCTATGACGAATCTTGCCAGATAAGAGCCGAGTTTTTCACCAGGTGCACTCTAGTCGTTGTCCAACCCACTTCAGTCTTTTCTTACAATCATCACAGGTGTGATATGGCTTACTATGTCAAGAAATTGATGTATTATTAATATTTTGCTTAACAGTTTATGCACATTACCATGTTTTCAGGCTTTAAACAACTTTGCTTTACACAATCACCATAGTGACATTGTGAGTAGTCAGATTTGAAATATTTTTTATTGAACCAGAGAGGCTTCTAGACATGTGAGAAAATGTGTACCTTGCCTCAGGCATTTGCACTTTTGTAAGATTTAGAAGGCATTTTCAAGAAATAAAAGATACACAAGACAATGTTCATGTTTTAAAATGTGATTAGCAAAAATATACATAATGGAGAAAATGCACAGAAACATGCTTCATCAATTTGGAAGAGCTGCATAAATTATGTAAATTACACAGATTAAATACACATATTAGGAAAAGGCATTGTGCAAATTTCTGGGCAAGAAGTAAATCCAAAGGTGTATAAGACTATACAAAACAAAAGCAGGGAAAAATAATCAGGGGAGTCTAAAAAACTCAACAAAATAAATATGAAGGGATGTTCATACCCCTACAGTCCTCTGTCTACTGAACACCCTGCCCAACTAGTTTTCATCCTAGCCTTGAAGACAAAGAACTTGGCAAGGATAATCTCAATTGCACAGTGATTCCCACTCTCTTTTCAGCCCCATTGATGGAAAAAATCCTGAAGGTTGTCTGGAAGCTACATCTCTAGGGCTTCTACAGTGGAAGAGTTTAAAAATCTGCAACCCCTCCTCTCTTCTTTGGAAAAGAAGGCAAGGGATTGCTTGATCATTCCTCAGCATTGATGGCACTCTCCAAGCAGCTATGCTTTCCACTTATCTGTCCCATAGAAAATGTTGACAGAAAAGAGACTTATTTGGTTCTTACTCACTGAAGGCACTTGCAGCCACCAGTGGACCCTTTGTACTGGTGGCTAGCGATCTGTAGGTTTAACCACTTGTGGATCACTACACACCATATTATTCAATGACAATGCATGCATTCAGAGATGCCACTGTGTTTGTACACATATTGTCACCATTGAATAACATGGGGTGTGATTGTCCACATTTTTCCCATCCATACTGAAGCCCAGATTTAAACCCCTGCAGGTGGGAAGGGTCCACTGTAGCTGGAGGAACAAATTGAGGGCATTCCAGTGAAATTTTCTTTTCATGCACACCTTTCTAACACTTCAAATTTCTAGCACACGTTTCTAGCACTTTAAAACTTCAGACTAGTACTTAGAAATAGAGTTTAGGCATCCCAAAGAAAGGGTCAGAAAAAGTTACCAATGGATTATGAATACAACCAATATAAGTTGAATTATTTTTGATGGCTCACTCTCTGTAATAAGAGAAATTTGGAGACTCAATGAGAAAAAGTATGGGTGGAACCAGAATGCTCATTTAGATGGACAATTT